CATATGTATTTTCATCAGGCGTAGACCTATTAATAGACAACAAAACAAAAAGGAATAACGATATTGACCTCTTCTTTCAGATTTTGTGAGTTATCGAAATTACAAAAATAAAACTTGTTGACATAGCTTAATGGTGTCATTTCCTTTGCAAATATGAGGTCCCAGGTTTGAGATAGTATACTGCTGAGCATACTCTGCACTTTCATCTGTAAAGAACATTATAACTGTGACAATCAACCTCACTAATTGATAAAAAGTAGCCATGTAAGCACCAGGTCCTACTAATTGATTTCCTTCCCTAAATTAGGAATGACTATGTGCTTGAGTTTTCTGTCTTTGTTCTCTCTATTTATCCTATGTGTCATATTTAGTGGCCTTCAGGTTGAAAATACTGAATACCAAAATTGTCACTGTTTTTAGCTTAATGACCACCATATTGAATTTTCTAACCTTCACCAGTCAACTTGTTTCTGCCAAAATGCATAAGAATAGAGCCCAATAACATATACAGTAGATATTCTGGTTATGTTTTGTAATAAAAATTACTCCAAAAAATTTAATAATTTGTAAAAACTGAAGAAAACTTCAAGATCATCAACTTACTATATCGTATAAGTTAAGGTAAATGATTAAGCTCAAGTATCTATCTTTATTTGGTGCGGCAATTGTGGATTAATAATTAAGTGTATGATGCATTTCAGCACGCCTACTCATACCCAGAGTACTATGTAGTGTGTTGAAAGCAATGGAAGACTGTTTATTGGGCATGATAATATAAACTTTTGGTCCTTCCACTACAAATACAAATTAAACACTCCTTGGTTCATGTGAAATGAAAAACGTGTTGTGAAACGAAATCATATGTCTGGCATTAATTTCACCATTCAGGACTATAAATAATAACAGTTTTAGACTGTAGGACAATTAACAACTACTATGCAAAGGGATCTTTGTGCTATTGAATGTTTTGAGTGAGTTGAAGCCCATAAACTGCTGATTAAAGTTATGAATGCAATGAGTCAGCTCTCATAGTATCTTAAGTGCCAATGCCTCCCTTGAACAAGAAACTACTGAGGGAATATGCTGGCCAGTATTTTATTCGGAACCTTAACTCCATAGAACACACATGGGACAAATTTGAGACATTTTTCAAATCTACTTCATGCACCAGATAGAGCTTTGGTAAGGTAGTGAGAAAACGTGGCTTTAAATTCTTCGTACAGATTTTAAACAAAATATGATGTAATGTCGTATAGTTGTCTGGGGCGCTCTGTATAGACTTACTTGGTGTTGAGATGAGCATAAACATTTCGAAGACTAACTTTATATTTATATCCGTGAGCTCTGGTGTTGCCTTAGCATTACAAAACTAGGACAAATGACATATCAGAGAACAACTGTGGAGTACTTCCTTGTATTCTTATGTCACCTTAAAGAAAATAATAAGTTTCATTTTCGTTAATGGTTTACAGTAAATGTTATAGCCACTTGTAAAACATATACTGATAATTTGTTGATTATAATTTAACCTTGCTCAGCTTATACATCAATATATATATTTTCTGCCTGACCAATTACTAAATATATTTATCCTTTTTCATATCACAGTTTTTACTGATACTAAAATTTGAATTAGTTCAAAATATAGCAATTATTTTTGTATTTGCACATCTCCTATGAACCAATTTATATATACATTTATCTAACTTGTTACTTTCCGATGGCTCTCATTGGCTGCTGGAGTATAGAAAGATTTTTTATAAAATGTCAGTAGAGAACGAAGAAAATTCTGATTTACCACCCAGATTCAAACGAAACATTAATAGTTCTGTATTATAGAATCCAATGCTGCATGCGTCACAGACTATATTATAAGCAACACTTATATGTAATAAAACCACTAATTCATACCAGCTCGTACTAGTTTCTGTGCCACCCCTTGAAATGGGCTTTCCCTTTCCCACTGGGGTCAGCGACAGGGTCAAATTGATATAAATTCGATGACGAGGAACCCACTTTGAGACTAATAATGGATGGAGACGGCTTGAATGGGTAATGAAGAAAAACTTTAATATAACAGCAAATGTACAACGTTTCGACAAGGTTTTGTCATCATCAGATACAAGTAATTTACACTGACATGGATATATATATATATACAGTATTGAACAAAGAAGTCACATGACCGGAACTGTTGTGAAACTTAGTAGAGGTATCTAGGCACCCCAGGGTGTTGTAAGTTGTTTTGTGGTTGATGGCAAAGTTGAGGCCTTTGTTTAAAAGTTGAAGTTCTGATATAAGTTTCTAGACCTTGACCAGAGGCTTAGTGGGGTGAGAATGCGTGGGCACGGCTAGAACGCCACTATTTCGAACGTGATCAATCTTAAACGGTTATGCAGTAGATTTTGCTCATTGTGCAGAAATCACAAGATTCCCCGAACGTCTAATTAAAATGTGCAGAACGAGTGCAGTTGTGTTTTAACACTGATGGAAGACGGTATGGGCTTAAATAATTTGTGAAATTATATCGTGAACGTAAAAAATGAGTGAAAAAACGTATACACATATTCCTGTAATCATTTTTCACTAAAAACAAACAAACATATACGTTCTGAGCTCTTTAACTTAGAAATCAATGATCCAGATGAATCCAGGCTTTGGAGAAAATGAAATCCAGTCCCTTTGCAAACGTAACTGTCGGCGACATATTCTGCCAGATTCGAATCCTTTAATCGTGTGTTCAAAAATCATCTCATATAGTTCTTCCGAATGCGAACGAGGCTTTAGCACCACGAACCTTATAATTACGAATACGAGATCTAGGCTGTTAATCAACCATGTGCCAAATCTCATGTTCATTCAACTTCACGGCTCTCTGATTATAAACTGGAAACCAGAGGACTATGTACACAAATGGTTTAGGTGTCATTGTTCAACGGATACACGAAAAACAGTCCAAGGAATTCACCATGGACCTGTTTGGAGGTTTCTTTAAAAAAAACAAAAAACATCCAGTACTTCAAGTTGTGAGAAAATTAAATTTCTTATTATAAAATTTTAAAATGTCGATTTCAATTACTGATACTATTTTTGTATTTCTGAAATATTTAGTTTTTATGTACGGGCAACGTAATAAATACTACTACTAACACTTTCAAAATGCGTCTGGCACTTTTTTTAGCACTACACCACTGACGTTGACACATGCAAACTTTACCTAAGTTAAAGTATTAGTACATGCTGTTAACAAGAATGCCGGATTACATGGAAATATTCTGCCATGGAGTGGTGGGTAAGGCACTCGACTCGCAATCTGTAGATTGCAGGTTCGAATCCTGTCACCGAAAATACTTGCCCTTTCAGTTAAGAGAGCGTTATAATGAGATGGTCAATTCCATCATTCGTTGGTCAAAGAGAAGCCCAAAATTGGTGGGTGGTGTTGACTAGTTGCCTTCCTTATTGTTTATTATTTCAAGATAATGTTTGTGCGAAATGGAAAAAACAAATAAACAATACTTCTTACAGAACTGTATGGAAATTGGAAAACTCTACTTGAATATATCTGACTACAGACATATGGCAAACTAGTTACGGAAAGTTTGTTTGTAGTTAAGCACAAAGCTGCACAATGGGTTTCTGGCGTTGTAAGTTCGCAGACATACCGCTGTGCCACTGGGGGACGTTACGGAATGAAGAAAGTCATGACTGTTTGAATCATTTCACATTAACGTGGTATCGTATGGTCTGAGAACACCATCATATGAAATGATATTCATATTGTGATTTTAAACGCCATTTTTGTTATTGTTTTTTTACTACTAAGGGGTGTTGCGAAATAAATCATACCCCCCCCCCCCGATGTAATGACGAACTTGGTAGGACCGCGAATATCATCACTCGTCTTGGGTGTTTGATTCTTCGAATTTCATTTCTTTTGCGAAAATCATGGTGCTCACTAGAACTCAGGTTCGTGTCGCATGGCTCAGTTTCGGGATGGCTCAGAAACTAGTCGCAGACGTGCTCCGAGAATTCAAGTCGGAGCTTTCGTTCAACAATGCACAGAAGAAATGTTGGAAACTTTGCCTGAAAGCAAGAGACACAAACGTGAAACCTTGATTCGTGTTCTCACTGAAGTGCTCACAGAGACAGCCAACAAAAAAAAAAAAAAGAACGATGTTTGTTGTCATT